GAGTCCCGCTCCAGGGGCGGCCACCCGCCAGGCATCATGCCTGGGGGACCCTGGGTGTGTGCGGCCACGAGAACACCCCAACCCAGCCCCACAGTTGTGCCAGAGACAGGCCATCTGCCCGGGCAGTGACATGGGGACCTCTCCCCAGCCCAGATAGCGCTGTCCGCACATGTGCTCCCATGGCAAGTGTCAGCCCGGGAAGGTGCCAAGGCCCCTGGCCCAGCAGTGGACAGTGGCTATGGGGGACAGGGCGGTCGCCGGCAAACCTGCAGGGAGCCCTCCGCCTGTCACCGGCTGGCCAGCAGGCCATGCTTTGACTATCACGCTGGGTCAGAAGGGCTCTTCTGGCAGGGTGGTGTGCAGATGGGGCAACGGAGGCCCAGAGGCCCCGTGGCTCTCCCAGCCCTCGGATACCGCTCTTGAGCAGTGAAGATGACCCTTGAAAGGGACAGGGGCCTTGGGCCTGGTCCAGCACGGTCCTGACCCCCCAGCCCCCCACAGCTGCCTGGGCACGGGCAGAGGCCCATGCTGCCGACACCCCGGCTTGGGTCCCTGCAGGAGCTGGGAAAGGGGTGGCACCTACTCCCAACACGAGGAAGGCAGGCAGAGCCAGGGTTTGGGGGCAACCGGGGCCGCCGAGAGAAAGGGAGGAGTGGACAGCCTCCCAGTCGGGCTCTCTGGACTCCAAGCCCTCCGCACCCTTTCCCGAGCCTGTTTCCTCCCCTGTAAAGCGGGTGAGCAGCCACCCACATACCACGGTGTTGCTCAGAGAAGTAAACAAGGCAAGTGCCATCCCTGGGCCAGGGTCAGCACAGAATGTCATTATCCCGAGCACCACAGGTGTGCTCCTGGCCTGAGCTAGAGCCAGGGACTGGCCCTGGCCTCCCGACCTCGAGGCCACCTGTGGCCATAGGACCCGGAGGAGCGCTGGGCAGGCTGGACCCGCAGCGTGGCCGGTGCTGGGGACTGGCCTCACAGGGATCAGGTTGGGACCTGTGCCCTCAGCAACCGATTACACAGGTCAGGAGCCACATGGAGGAAGCCTGCCCCGGCACCAGGGTCAGGCCCACAGCTGGGGGGCAGACTGCAGGCTGGGACCCTGAAGGGGACGTGGACCAGGGCAGGGGGCAGCCAGGGGCAGAGGGCACCGGCAGGGGTCACGGAAAGCTGGCAGCACAAAAGCCCCAAGGAGGCTCTGGAGGGGGTCCGAGGTCCGCAGGAGACGGGCCTCCCTCCTTTCCGTGTTGGGCCCGGGGGGAGCTTGGGCCCCTCCCCACACTCTGTCCTCAGACCTCAGAGCAGCTAGCTCTCCCCACGAGCCACCTCCTTCCTTCCGGCACGGGCCGGGGTCAGGGAGGCCAGGCGGGGGCGCCGCAGATGTGGGGGTCATCAGTGGCTCTGTGGGGGCAGGGCCCCGGAGATCTGAGCCATCAGGGAAACTGAGGCCAGGAGAGGGACAAGGAGCTGCCAGGGCCTGGGGGGAGGGGCCGGGGCCCAGAGCAGAGACCTGCCTCAGGCAGCTCCTCTGGATCGTTCTGGAACACGAAGCCCCAGGCAGCAGGCTGGCCTCTAAGGTCACGCAGAGGTGGTGGATGCGGGGTGGCACCTCTGTCCCTCACACAGACACGCTCCAGGCTCCCACTCCCTCCCCAAAGTCTTCCAGGGGAGGGGACGGAGTGGGCCACGAGGTGCCTGGCAGGGTGCGGGGAAGCTGGGGGGCTGGGAGCAACCCCGGGAGGCTGGTCCAGCCCTGGGGGGGCAGTAGCCGCCTCTGGCAGAGAGGCCCGGTGTGCCTGCTGCCCCCCAAGGCTCCCCCTCCACCACGAGTAGCCCGGGCTGTGGTGTGCAGCAGCTAGGCGCCCCCAGCTGAGCCCCCAGGAACAGAATCCCCTTTCACCGGCCCTGTGGGTGGTCCCAGCCCGGCAGCTGGGGGTGGGGTGGGAGAGAGGGGCCAGGCTCCATGACAATGGGACCAGCTGTTCTGTGCCCCCCCCCGCCCCCCCCCACTCCGACCCACCCAGGGCAGGCGGCCGGACACTGGCTCACCCCTGCCCTGGCCCATTCTGCCGCCCACTCCCACCCTAAGCCTCAGAGGGGAACGTCCAGCTTCTGGCAGGACCCTTCATTTGGGCAAGCCTAGGAGGCCAGGAGGCCTGGGGGCTGGACAGACAGGCTCTGCCCCAGGCCAGATGTTCCGGGGCGGCTCCTCCAGCTCCAGGGTGCCTCCCCTGCACCCCAGCTGCTCCGCCAGGGAAGCAGGAAGCCTGGGCCCTTGCTCTGGCGGCTGCCCCCCAGATGGCGAGCTAGGTCCAGCAACGGAGAGGTGGGCAGTCCTGCCTGGAGTTGGAGGGGTGGGGTCACCTGGGCCCCTCCTCTGACCCGGCCCCCACCTGCTGGCCCGTCCTGGTCTCCTGGCCCTTCAGGGGCCCAGCCCTGGCCAGCCCCAGGTCAGGGAGGGGGCGGTGAGCAGGCCTTGCTGGGCACCTGCCACCCTGCCCATCCCGGGGGCAGCGGAAGGAAGCAGGATGAGGGTGAGAGCCAGACCTCTAAGCAGCCCGCCCAGGCAGCCCACCATGCCCGCCAGCCCCCACTCTCCGGCCGTGTCGCGTGCCCCCCGCCCGCCTCACCCCCCTTCCCTCTGAGCACACGCGGCAGAGAAACAGGCCCCGGCACGCGGGGAGCCAGTTGGCACCCCGTCAAACTAGCAGCCGGGCACGCGGCCAGGGCAGCCAGCCAGCAGGCACTGCCACTCGCTCTGGCCTCCACGCTCCAAGCTCACCGCGAGGCAGCCGGCACCACGTGGCCTGTCGGGGGGCGGGGAACCCCGCAGGAAGGAGATCCCGAGGCGGGCCGCTCAACGGAAGGCAGAGAAAAGGGAGCTGGCGAGGGGGTAAACCGAGGCCCAGGCCGGGAGGGTGCATGCGGTTGCAGGGTCCCCGGGACACACACACACACCAGCTACCCTCAGGTAGGACCTGGTAGGTCGGCGGGGGGTTGCTCTCCCCTTCAGAGCTGCTGCCCCTTCCCAGGCTCATCTTCGGCCTCGGGCGGGCCCTGCTCCCTACACGCCCGGCGCCCTGGGGGCTGCGTGGGTGCTTAGGAGGCCACATCCTCTTTTCCTCTGTCCTCTGTCCACCTGCCCTGGCCCACTGAGCCCCTCGCCCCGGCAGGCAGGCCCTCCCCCACCAGGCTGCAGGCACGTGGAGCCCGAGGAGGCGCAGGCGGTGTGTGGGGGCTGGTGGAGGGACAGACCACAGACAGAGCCAGTGTCCGGGCTGGCCTGAGAGGGAGAAACGTCCTCAGTGTGGCCTAGCCCTGACCCTCTCCCCGCTCAGGCCACGGTGGAGGCAACTAGGAGGCCCGCACGCCCGCCCGCACGCCCGCGGGGGCTGGGCTGCCCCGCCCCCAGCCAGGTAGACTCTGCTGGTGTGGCCGTTGGCTCAGGGGAAGTGAGTGGTGGGAGGCCGTTGAGGGTGCTGTCTGCAGCCTGCCTCCCACCCCCCTCTCCCCACAGCAGGACAGGGACACCTTCTCCCCGGGCCCCAGGGCAGGTGGCGCTGCCCACAAACCGCCCTCCATGCCGGTAAGGTCCCCAGGGGTGGGACAGAGGGGAAGGGGATATGTGTCTCCTGAAGCAGAGCTGCTGCCCCGACCCTGGGCCACCCTGGCACGGAGGGGAAACTGAGTCAGCCAGCTGGGGCGCACCGTGCACCTGTGGCTGGGCCCGGGTGGGGCAGTGGCCGTTATTCCGTTACTTCGTTATTTTGAGGTGGTCCCGTGGCTGCTGCAGGCCTCCCCTTGCCTGCTCCCCAACACTCGGCTGCACTCCTCCCTCCCACAGACATCCTTCCCAGATGCTCCTGCCAGGGCCAGGAGCTTGCCTGGCGGACACAGAAGGCGGAAGGGCTGGAGGGGCTGGGGGCGGGGGGTGCAGAGCGCTGGGCCCACCCACAGCCGCCAGGCCTCGCGCCAGGGCCCAGCCCCCTCCGCACCGGCTCTCCCCTGGGGAGGCCCCTGAGAATGTGGGGGCAGGGAGCCGGGGGCGGCGGAGGTGAGTGCGGGCCAGGGCGCCTGCCCTGACTGCCCGGGGCCTCGGGGCAGGCCTGGCCTCCCCTCCACCAGCAAAGAGAGCCGCTCCTTATCGCCTGCCCAACATGTGCACTCTGCACAGCGCTTAAAGCCCAGATTATTTTAACAACTGTCCCTCACTTGTCACCTGTCCTGTTTGGAAAACAGCCCCTTTCTTGTTGCACAAAGAGGCTTCTCTGGCTCTCCCGCAGCGCCGGGCGCTAATCTCCCTGCCTGGAACCCGGCGGCGGGCGCGGTGTGTGGGTGCGCGCTCCGCAAACACAGTGCTTGCCGCCCAGCAGTCACTGAGTTACGGCGGTGCCCGTGCCAGGAGCGGAGAGCCCTCCGTGCCCGCTGCCAAATGCCATTACCTCTTGGCGCGCCAGCCAGCGCCGCCGGCCTTAACCCTTCCCGAGCCGCGTGGACGCCAGCAACCGCGGGCCTGAACAGACAGCAGAGAGCTGGGGAAACTGCAGGGAGCCCCAGAGTCCCAGAGGGGCCTCCGGGGGCCTTCCTGCCGGCCGCTTGGCCTGCGCGCACAGGGCCGTGTTCCACGGGGAGGCCAGGGGCCTGGGAGGGACTCTGCTCTTGGCCAGGCCCCCAAGGTGGCAGCGTGAGCATGCTGACAGCTCTGTCCTCCCCACCCCGCCCTCCAGCTGGCACATCTGGAGCCCATACCTCTCTGGGTCTGGGGAGGTGGGTGCAGCCCGGCCCCGGCCCGCCCAGCTGTGTTCCACATTTCCTCGGCTCCCCCAGAGCCCTCCCAGCCCCACCTCCTTCCCTCCCTCTCTGCCCATCTGTGGTGCACATCTGGCTAGGACCACTGCCTGGTGCTCCCCCCCCTTTCCACCCAATTACCACCTCCCCTGTGGGGGCTTCCTCGGCAGGCCACAGCAGGGGAGCCCCTCTTCTGGCCCCCGCCGCGGACTTACCTTCATGGGAGTGGGAGAACCAGATCTGGGATGTGGCGGGGTGGGAGGCGCGGTAGGCCTGCTCTGAGGGGGCTGGGGCGGGGCCGCTGGGGTGCGCGGAGGCCGCTGAGCCCAGGCTGCCGGTGAGAAAGCTGCCCATGAAAGAGGAGGCTGGAGAGTTCCCCATCAGGCGGCTGCCGGCTGTGGACACAGGGGGCAAGAATGAGTCTGAGCAGGGCAGGCCCACCAGGAAGCCCTGCCCCGGTGCTCTCTTGGGCCCCCAACTCCCGGGGCTTCTGTCTTCAAATAGCCCAGAGGCCCTCCGACAGGTGCGCTCAGGGTCCAGTGCCCTCCGGTGACTGTCTGCACTCCTGCCGCCCCCTCCCCCACCCTGGCAGCCAGATGCCAAGCCCTGGGCCTGTGGGGAGCAAGCTGCTCTGCGGGTGGGCCTTCTCTGCAGAGGTAGAGCCCCCGACTCTCCCAGGCCATGGTCCCTCCACCAGCGGCCAACCTGCCAGACTGCTTTGCCCACACCTCCCGGAGAGCTCCAGTGTCAGCGGAGGCCCTGCTCCAGCCCTGCGGGCCCCGCAGCCTCTGCCCACCGCCCGGGCAGCACCGGGGGGACCAGCCTCTCCCCACAGTAGGGTCTCAACTTTCTCCCCCCGGTCCAACCGACTGACTCCTCAGCCCCGTCCCAGGTGAGCGAGACCGAAATGAAGGATGAGAGAAGCCTGAGGAGGAAGCTAGGCCTGCTTTTCACAGCCCCGGGGGTCTCTTGGGGTTCTGGCCAGGCCGGCAGGCGGGCGCCCTGTCATCTGCCTCCCAGGACCCTCTGTGCTTCCGCCGGTACTGGCCTCGCGGCCCTCCAGGTCCACCTGCACCCTCGCCACTGTGTCCCCTCTCTGCCCAAGTCCGGCCCACCGCCAGGCTGAGCAAGCCCCCCTGGCTCTCCATGCCGACCGGGCATTTGCGTTCACAGACCGCTCTTCGAGGAGCGGCCCCCGGTGCCTGGCGGGTGGTTTAGGGCTGCACCGCACGGCCCCGCTCTGGCCACACCTTGTCACCTCTGTTCCACGGGCAGTGAGCCTGGCTTGGGACCATCCCAGGGGACGGGGAGCAGGGACCTGGGGGCTCAGCACCCTGTGGGGCTGGGTGTTGGGGCCCGGGGGGTTCACGGTGGCTCTGGGGGTCCTGCCAAAGGTGAGTCAGGGCAGCCGTTTCCCAGCCTGGGAGGCAGGGGGAATTTGTGAATTTGTGATTCCTCACCCAGCCTGGCGTGGCCCTGGGAGCTTCCCAGACACGGGGTGACTCAGCATGGAGGAGGCAGGGCCCAGAGCAGGGGAGAGGGAGGGGCTGCCCCGGGGGGGACCCTGCCGGCCTCCCGCCCTGCCAGAGTGTGAATGGGACGTTACGGAGGAAAGGGGCCTTTCCTGGGCGTAGGCCACGGAGGCAGGTCTGTGAGCTCCGGCAGGGGCACCGGGCTACACGCTGACCTCTGTGGTGGGTGTCAGGCTGCACGGAGACCCTGAGCGGACCCAGGGGCAGGGGACGAAGGTGCCTAGGAGCCAGGGACTTCCCGGACCGCAGGGCTGGGACTGCCATGGGCCGCAGCCAGACAACAGGCGTCCAGCCAGTGGGGGGGGACTCTGGGCTGGGAAGGGAAGTGTTGGCCTCCAGGGGCCGCGGGTGGAGGGGCAGGAGTGGGAGGGCGGCCCCTGCTGGGCTCTAGGGACCCTGGGGGGGCCATGCCTGGGGGATGAGCAGGCCTTTTCCTGCCTCGCCCAGGCTGGGCCCGAGTCTCCCAGGGCTTCCCACCCCCGCACCCTCCCAGGGAAGTCCCTCCCACCCTGCTCCTCCCGGGACAGTGGGAAGCAACCGAGTCCAAGAGTCGGGCCTGGATTAAGGATTTCTCCAGGAGCTCAGCCTGAGAAGCCCGCACCTTGAGCTCTCCCACACCGCGGGGGCGAGGCGGCGGGCCAGGCCCCAGGCTGGGCGGGAAGTGAAGCTCAGAGTCCCACCGGGCCCTCTGGCCCTCGGGTCCAGGGAAGCTGAGGCTTGGAGGTGGGTCCCGCACAGGGTTGCCCACTCCTGGTGCTCCTACAGAGGCAGCAGGCAACCTCTGAAGAGCCCCCCACCCAAGGGTCACCCACCTGGGGCCAGGACAGATGGGGAGCAGGCCCAAGGCCCGGTGGGCTGTCCTAAGCTGAAACCTGGGTTGGGGAGGTCCCAGGACATCATGGCCCTCCCCCGGGAGACTTATCCTGGCTCTGGGTGGAGACTCTCATGGGTGCCCTGTTCTGACGCCATCTCAGAGGGGGTCCCACTGCACGGAGGGGGGGGGCGGGGAGCAGCTCAGCTCAGCCAGCCCCTGGTCTTGGCTCCACAGAGCAGGAGACACACCAGTGACAGGCGGTGCTTCCTGCTGAGCCAGAGCCCCCGAGCCTGGGACCGACCTCCCCCACAAAGCCTGTCTCCTGATCAAGGGGACCTTCTTGGGGACCCTCAGAGAGCTGGCTTCTCAGAGTCCAAGGAAGGGAACCATGCCCCCAGAGCGTGGGGAATGAAGGGGGTGGGACAGCGTGCCAACCCAGCCCCTCCCCCACCCCCTGGCCCTCAGGGCCACCCCTGCCCTCCTGCTCTAACCCAGCTGCCCCCAGTGGGCCCCGGGCCTGGTGGTCTGGCTCAGACCGTCCACCTGGGAGCCTCTCTCCACTCTTTCCCTTTCATGTTGAAAACAGAAGAGCCTCGTCATGCAAATATGATGTCTGCATCTTCACTGTAAAATGCACGCAAGGAAGGAAGCAGGGGTCCCTGGAGACCCCAGGCCCCAAGAGCACACCACAGTGCCCTAGGCGCACGTGCCCTCACCCTGACGCAGCGCCACAAGGGACTTCCGCCACCCCCCACTGCACACACCGACACCCCATGCCCTGAGCCACCGCGAGAGACTCCCTCCTAAAACCCCAGTCTGCAGCGCCAGGTCCCAGGGGGACTCCCACACCCCCTGACCCGCAGGCCAGTCCCCCCGGCCTGGAACATGTGCCGTGGGGCTCCACACTGCTTGCTTGGAAGGGTTCAATCCCTTCACTGCCACCCTGGCCTAGCAGCTGAAGGTCCTGCAGGCCTTGTCAGGTGGGCTGCAATGGGGGGTGGCGGGAGCGGGCTGATGGCCCCTGGAGCCTCCCCTACCCTACCTGGCTCTCACTGTCACCTCCACCTCCAAGGAGTCTGGAGATGGCAGCGTGCCTGGCCAGCAGGGGCATGGGCAGACCTGGCTGCCACCCCCCAGCCCCTCCCGCCAACCAGTAGCCAGCCCCAGACAGAGCGTGAGCAGAGGCGGCCTGGGCCCCGGCCAGGGCTGGAGCCTCACGAGCCAAGTCTGGCCGGGAACTGGGCTGAAGGCTTCTTTCCTCTTGGCAGGGTCCTTGCCCACGGACTGCTGCGGTCACCAGCCCGGGAAGGGACAGTGGGAGCCCGGAGCAGCAGGGAAGGCCAGAGAGGTGCTCGGTTAGGACGCCCCCGCCCCCAGCTAGGAGCCCCGATCCTGGAGCCATCCGCCAGCCCCTCTCAGACCAGGGGCTCTACAAACCTCACACTAATTGCTTTCTCGCAGTCCCGGACGGCAGGCCCACCCCACCACGGGGCATTGTTCATCTGGACTCCACGGTCCCAGGTACCTCGACTGGGGTTTGAAGGAGGCCCATCCGCTCTGAGGCTGCCCCAGCCCCTCCAACGTGCACGGTCCAGCTGGCCACTCCCCCGGGGTTCTCGGTCCGTTCTCATCACAGATATGGCACATATGTAGGATGGCCTCAGGAAAGGGGCCTGGACGCAGTGTGAGGTGTCCACAGGGCCAGAGGCAGGCCATTCTGTGCTGCACATTCTGCACGGCCCCCGGGCCTGGCCAGCCCAAGCTGGGGTTTGCAGCCCCAGACACAGGGCTCCCGTCCCAGCTCCAGCACCGCCCGAGCTCTGCCTAGTACCCCACGGACGCCTGGCCTGGGCACCGGGCTGGCTGAGAAAACTGCTCCAGGGGCCAACATGCCTGGGAGGGCTGCCTGACACCCCCCAGCGGCCTGGCTCCCCAGGCCCAGCCTCGACCCCGAACACCATCTGACCCCACGCCCCAAGGCCCAGACAACCTGGACTGGGAAACGGGCCGTGCCCGGCCCCCGGCTGTGGCGGCCGCTTCCCTCCCAGCTGCCCCAGCCGGATGGAGCCGGGCTGGAATGCCCTGAGCTCCCTGAGAATCTTGAGTGGCTGCTGAGCCCAGCCTTGGCCCACAGGCTTCTGGGCAGAGAGGACAGCACCCAGCTGCATCGGCCCTGGCAGGGGGGCCCCACGTGGCCAGGCAAAACTGAGCACAGCCGGGTCTTCCGCCGCCGCCCTGTTTGCCAGGCCTACCTGCCACGGCCCAGAGCACAGGTGGGGCCGGGCGGAGCCCCCAGTCCAGGGGCCGCTGAGACCGACCGGCAGCAACGCAGGTGGCCCTGGGCCATGCAGCCTGAGTTTGGGGCTCCAGTACACCCCAGGCGGCCAGGTGCCCACAGTGCCCCTGCACCCGCTCTCTATCCAGCCCCCACCTCCGCACCAGGCCGTCCTGCGGTGGGGGCACCAGGAAGCCTGTCTCCTCACTGCGACCCCAGGCTGAGGGCGGAGGGAGCAGAAGGTGGGGAAAGACGGGCAGACAGAGGGCCTCAGAGAGCTGGGCAGAGCGAGCATCTGCTTTCCCTTGAGCGAGCCACAGGGACAGCGTCCTCCCTTCCCGGAAACCAGGATGTGTTGTGAAGAAAAGGCCAAGATGGCTGCGGCCGTTCCTGAGGGGCAAGCCCCTCCGGGGCTCTCAGGGCTCCTGTGGCTTCCCGAAGCCCGGCTGACCAGCTGTTGGCCCGGGGCTCCCCAGCTCCGCACCCACCAGCTCCCGCCCTCCCGCGCATACCTGCTCGGGCTCCCCACGTCCCCCAGGCCCTGCAGGGCTCACCTGGGCGTCGGGGACACCCGACTCCCCTGGGGGCGCCCCTGGGTCTCGCCCAGCACACCAGAGGCCGCTGAGACACTGGAGGGACGGGAGGCCTGCCTAGAGGACCAAAGGGCCCCTCCTGTGCCGAGTCAGGCCTAGAGGGAGCTGTGGAGAAGAGGAGGCAGGAAGGACGCGCAGCCCACTGCATGGACCAGACCACAGCCCTCTCGTTCCAGGACGGGGAGCAAGGAAGGAGAGTGTCCAGCTGGTGTCCAGCCTTTAGTCCTGCAGGGACGATGAAGCAGAGGCCTCGGTCCAGCCAGCTGGAAAGCAGGGGGGAGGGGGACAGGGATGGGGAGACCAGGCCCTGGAGGGAGGGGTCGCTCTGGGACTGCCCCTACCAGGAAGCCCAAAGTGCCACAACACGGACCTCGGAGTCTGTGCCACACGGCGGCCCACGGGGCCTGCTCTGGGTGTACTCGATCTGGAGGCTCCAGAACGGTCCCGGCTGGGCTGGAGCCCACCACTGGCCCAGGCAGGAGGTGGGGGTGCGCACGGGCAAGCACGCACACACGCGGGGGCAGAGGGGCGGCAGCGGAACCGTGTGTGGGCGTGCGTGCGGGCGTCTGGGCGTGGCCGCGTGGCTAGGAGTGTGCACACCTGGCTATGGGTGTGGGTGCTGGTGCGGGCTCAGTACGAGCTCTGGGTATGGATGTGGACACGTGGCTCTGGGCGTGGACACGTGGCTCTGAGCGTGGGCGGTGGTGGTCTTGCGTGAGCGGCCTCTAAGACCCGCTTCCCAGGGTCAGACTCCCACCAAACTGGTCCCCGTGCTGGCCCGGACCGTGGACGAGGCTCCTGGCCTTTGGTTCTGTCTGCCCCCGGGCTGACATGGGAGGGGGCAGCAGGCTGACCGGCTGACTGGGTCCTGCCCACCTCCTCCTCCACCCTGGGAGGTGGGGGCACATCCAGGCTCACTAGTGGTAGAAGGGAA